TTTCACTTCTAATATGGTGTACATATATATATATATATATATATATATATATTAAAAGATCTGTAGAAGATCTAATAAACAGATTTACAATATCTGATGGTGGAAATCAGAAAATGTATGTGGAAGTGATCTTTTTTAAAATGCTAAGGCTAAGACACTCTTTAGGCCACATGCTTCCTAGTGAAGGGGTCCCTATAGCTTCTATTTGAAATGTTTACTAAGAGGCTATGACAGCTTGAGTTTTTTTGGCAAAAGCATGTTCTACGTATATGAGGAATCACATGCTTTTGTTTTTCCAATCAGCACAGTGATTTAATCTTTATAAAAATAAAAAAATACTTGGGCTAACTTACTGCTCCATCTTCATCATCTCTCATTTGATAGGTTTTCTTGAACTGTTGAGCTGTCCCAATAGCATTGAAGCAATTGGGGAATGATGTTCTTTACCTACAAAGCTGTTAGTAGACATTATTAATCTTTTCTGGAAGACCAAAGCATGTGGGAGTGACACTAGTGGTTGAGCTTTCCCATTCTAATATCATATTTGCAAGCTGGATGCCATTTCATCATCCAAACTTGTCCATCTTTACCATCCATTCCACCTCTAATGGATCATATATCTATATAAACGCATTTCAGTGTTTATTCACCCCACTCAACCCAAGAGATTTCTTCCTTTAAACAAACACAGTTTCTGCTGCAATCAGAAAGTTGTTTCTCTAGCTTAGCCTTTTCTATTAACACTTCCAGAAACATTTGAACATGGCAATCAGTATGGGGCACATTCTTCGTCCTAAGCAAGCTTTCAGGAGGTCTCCTTCAAGAACAAACAGAGAAGGCGAGATTCCTAAGGGCCACTTTGCAGTTTATGTAGGGGATGGTGAGAAGAAGCGCTTTGTCATTCCGATTTCATATTTGAAAGACCATTCGTTCCAAGACTTGCTAAGTCAAGCTGAAGAGGAATTTGGATTTGATCATCCGATGGGTGGACTTACAATTCCTTGTCCGGAGGACACCTTCCTCGACATCATCTCTAGTATGAGCAGATCTTGATAGATCACAGAGTTTAGTTTATAGTCACTAGAAAAATTTGCAGCAAAAAAGTATTTTTGTACACTGTACAGTGTTTTTTTCCATATCTGATATGAAATTTTATACATTTATATTTCATTGGTTAGCAGACAATAAATAAATTTTTTATTATTACCATATCATTTTGATTTTAGATTAGAACTATAATACTCAGTAAATGTACATAAATCCGGGTAGCAGACAGAAGTGGGGGGCTATCCAACTTAGGTTACTTATGACAAGAAATAAATATTCTAAGATTAGAAAATATGGAATTATTATGAATAGGCAGAGTAGCTAGATATTCTGAGATTAGAAAATATGGAGTATTAGTAAGATAATCACAAAAAAATTTCTTTCTATATAGTAAAGAGAAAACTGATCTTCATGCAGAAGTTGTATGTTTAAGCCTTGAGCTCAATGCTCACCTTACAGAAAGAAGCCAGATTAGCATATAGGACATGTATTATGACTATTGTATTGTGCATATTTACATATAAAAAACTGTAAACTGAAGAACTTGTAACAGTTATTAAAGAAAATTTGTCAGCTAAGGATATTTTTTACTTTTGCTTCCATTTCAAATGGAGCCAAGAGTCATTATTGACAATGTTTTAGCTTTGGATAAAAAATGGACTCAATCAAAATGGGGCATTAACCTGTCTTTGCTTCTTACATTCAATCGAGTTTTGGGTTATAAATGCATCAATGCAACAAGGGTGAGGGTCTAATGGAATAAAACTTCTCTGTTTTTTCACAGGGATAAGACTGCATGCATCTTGACCCCCAAAATCTTAGTTTTGTGTACATTTCCTATGATGTAATAATCTAGATCATACAACTGATTGACATACTATAACAGCAAGGAAAAAGCCATTCCCGAATTCTCTAGCAGTGAAGGTGATGAACACCAATATGAAGTAGCTCAAAGAAGCAACGTGTTCTCAGGTTCTCTTCATACACTGTACCTGAAAAGTGAAATGGTATAGGTCATGAAGACTCCATTACATAGGCACATCACTTTTAAGTCCACATTCTTCTTGAGAGATGTTTAAGAGTAGTTCTCTAATAACCTCATTGCCGATATAAGATAGAGGGACAACAAAGCCCCTTCGATCAACCGCGTAGTAGGGACAACTTAAGTGTTCCACACTTCCACCGTCTAGCAATGGAAGCATTAAGTCATCAACAATGTCCTGAAGGGCTGTAAAAGATTGAGTAATCTTTTCTTTTTGGGGATAACATAAGTTTTTTTTGAAGTACTCGTGACTCAAAAAGAAAATGATACTCTCCTGAAGACATATGTTTCCAACCCTTCAATCCTCTACATTTATCCACCCCTCTTTCTAGTTTCTACCACTATATATAGGATTTATCGAATAATAAAAGGGAAAGAGCAGGAAATTCCTTTGGTTCTACCACTATATTATGATGCACCAATAGAGACCTTTTTGCATGACTAGCCAAATGAAATGATAAATATCCTTAATTCCTTATCAGTGAATATGATGGTATCATCGATAAATATATGCCCGGTGGTGGATATTTGGTGCTTCTCTAGGTTGAGCAAAAACTGTAAATTTCTCCACTGTAGGAGGAAAGAAGTTCTTCGTCAACATATTTAAGAGGATTCTTGATCTTGCATGAAGATTTAATAATCTTGATTTTCTATTGTTTCCTCCACCAACATATAAGAAGCTGCATAATGCCTTGTTTATTAGGTTCAAGACTCGATAAATCTGCAAAGTTCCTCCAATTCTTTTGAGCAGTTTCCCCAAACTCAACACTAGGAGTGGCAGAGAAGATACTGATACTAACATCTGCTGAGAGCTTATATCTCAAAATCCTCCTAAGCAATTCATGAGGAATTGGATTGGATATTGTACTGCTCCTCGCTAAGAGCTGAAAGTGATCGTTCCATACGGTGGTGCATCAAAAAAGCTGCCATTTAACTTTTCCAGTATGGTTTCTGACATTTTTTTAGCAGAACTGAGAAAGTCTCCAAGAGGTCTAGCAAAGAAGGTTGGCTGTGTCTTTTGAAATATCTAAGCCTCTTAACGATACCCTCTGAGCCAATCATTTACATGAAGAAAGAGGAAGAGGAAGGAGCTTCATTGCCTGTTTCACATTTGTTCTTGAAGGAAAACTTCATGCTTCGGTAGACAAAAGCAGTGGTTGGTTTGTTAAATAGCTCAGCCCCCATACCACACTAGTGAGAGCCTTCTCCGAACCGCACTTCCTGGTTCAGTGAAGCTGATGAAAGTTACTATGAAGTAACTCAGGGAATCAATGCATGTGTATGACATATTTAATCAGATAGACAAATGGGATTTTCTAACTTTAGAGGAAGTGCTGCACCTATCTGCATCACTATATATCTGCTCCTGGAAATGCTATCCTCTTCTTTCTCCTTCATAAAGCAGCATAGATGTCCACTGAACTTTTGCAGTGTTTGGTGATCAGAAAAGAATTGATCTATTTAAAGTGTTTGATAGGGCTGGAAACGCTTTTAAGTTCTGCATGGAATCAAGGAAGGCAAAGCCATGTGCCATCTAGACACATGGGGCCACTTATCTTCAATCAGGAAAACAATATGATCTGAAATGTGGCCATATATAGAGGCATACAAATTAGGAACCACAAAGTTATCTCTTCCAACAAAGCAAATCAAATTATCTTTTTTTTTTCTGGGAAAATACCATTAATCTCCATCACTCATTTGGCAGGTGGTAATCTTTTCCAACAAAGCAAAACCATGTGGTAATGTTTTCCATGTGGCTGGAGTTCTCCACATAGTTTGAGACATACAATGTGAATTCACATGCTTTGTTTCTCAATCAACCATTGATTCAAGCTATTTGGTAGGCTTTCTTGTGAAAACAAAAGAGGTTGAGCCATCTCCGTCTATTCAAGATTCATTGAACCATGTGGGCAATGATGTTTCAAGACAGTTCATGTTCTTGTATTTGGCTTGTTTAGTAAAAATTCAAGATTTTTAATACTTTTTTGGGGAAA